AGAGACGAGGCAACAGTGTGGTTCGTGTTTGTTACAAAAACTCCATCTAGCACCTGGTTACATTAAAATAAACGAAAATTTCGCGAGAACAGTTACTAGACTTATTTCGGATATAAACCAACACGCTGTCGCTTAAATTAATCAGTTTTGCAGAGATAGTCATAGTAAGTTCCCTTGTCAATTGAAAATTATTGTGCCGAGACCTGTGAGCTTGTGTAAAGAGAGGATACGGACCGAAATTGGTTCAGTCTCTCCAAAAAATAACAGAACTCATTCATTTGTCAAATAACGATAAAATCCCCTGCAGTCGAAGTAACGTACTGTATTTGATAGGTGACGCAGGAGATACACATTCGTTGCCAAGGTAACCATCGTAAACGCGGCCACCTGTCTACCATACTCGCAAGGCTGTGGCTATCCGGATTAGAGGCCTTGCTGGTCTTGGCGGCTGTCACGACGATCATCGCCAAGGTCCTCGTGGCACGCTGCTCGTTGTCCTCACCGAGAACCTCATCGTGGTGGACTGCCGCTATTTCTAGGTTCGATATTTTCTTTACGTTTTTCTCGTTTGTACGTTGGTTATGGACTTTGTCGTTCAACAATGAATGTTTACTTGCGCAGTATGTAAATTTAAGATTTTGTTCAGAACACTCTCAGCCCGTTACTGACATTTTGCAAATAGACAAGGAACAAGGTTCATACAGGAGTAATACGGGTGTATGTCATCCCCCACTTTTTTAAAACACCTAATTTAATTGACAACTTGTTCCTCAGACTTAAATTACGTAAAATCCTTCATAAAGAATGTATTGTAATGAATCTTTGCATCAACATATTTGATTTAACAAACAAGTACACCATGCAAGACTTGTCTCAAACCACTAGAAACAGATTTTTAAGAAATATACTTGCCAAGTCAGAAAATTATTCGGTTGAATTGCGCGTAATACTCACAAATTTTGTGAGTAATGCTGATGGTTTTGTCAGGAACTACCTAAAAGCAGCATCCTAAGCACTTCTAAATGAAATATTCAGTATTACTTACAAAGTTCGCGCTGACCCGAGACCGCAGTATACTGACTCATCCGACCGGGGTCCGATCTTAGCTGACGTGTGCATGACCTACGACTGAACGAGTTGAAAGTAGCCAATCTTGGAGCGCCTCGAGCCGACATGGCGCTGACAGCGAATCAGTTTACATCAGCAAACTATCAGTTCACCCGACGCCAACTGCATGAACCTGAATGAATCAGCCAAATACCAGTACTCAGTTTGACGCAGTACCCTAAATCGACTGCGGGAAGCTGTACAGCTACTGAGTCACTCTCAGTTTCTCTATTCAGTTAGCGTCAGTCGCAGTTCAGCTTCTGCTTTGAATGCTTTTGGCTGGACGTCAGCTGAGTGGACCTCAGTAGCCACGACTCAGCAAACAGCAGTTCGATTTAGTACAGCTGATCAATGCGTGGACTGAACCGCTATCCAGCTCCCCGAATCAGGTGTTAGTCAGTTCTACGCAGTAACAAAAATGTACTGCGGAAAGCTGTACCGTTGCTTGTCTCCTGAGTCTCACTGAGTTTCTCAATGCAGCCAGCGTCAGGTCCGCTCAGCACTACATCAGTTACCCGTTCAGTTACTATCAGTTACCTCAGAAAATGGTCAGCGCAACGCAGCTGACGTTCAGTCTTATTTCACTTACGATTTCAGTTTCTCTCAGTTTCGTCAGTAATTGTACACGTGAGCGTAAAGACGTCAGTCTCAGGTTGGCTTTGAGGTTGGTAAAGTCAGTTGATAGCTTGATCAGCTTCGGGACAGCGTAAAGAAGTTTAGTTTCAGTTAACGTCAGTTCCACGCAGCTGTACATCATTAAAATATCAGTGGACCGCAGCCTCGGATCAGCTCATTTTTTCGCACAGGTGAGTATTACTTGCAACTTTGAGAGTAGTAATACTGTATAAATGAATTCATTGCCTGCTTGCAAAATGTCGCGAAATGCAGTTTACGGGCTGAAATTTCACGATTCTTTGAGGACCACGGCCACTGTCAAAAATGGCAACTGGTAATCACTACAGAATAATGGTCTGGTATTTTGTTCCAGTATGATTGTGAAGTTTTGTCCCTCAAATAATAGTCTGACGGATTTTGACCGTAGTATGAAAGTAGGAGAAGTATACACACCAAAGGAAGTGCGTGGCCTCTGAAATCAACGATAGTGGGCTAAAATGTTCACAAAGCGATACCTTCCGTCGAGAAAGGCTCAGCCGCGCGACCGCTGCAGAAAAAGGCTTGGCCGAGCGACGGCTACTGTAAACTGTAAATTTTCTGAAAATGGCAAACGATAGGTGAAGCATTTCTACGTCGTTTGCCGCTTTCAGAAAATGTATATCTTAGACCACCGATTTTTCCTAGCGCCTCAAACGTCCATGTACGTCGCGCGGCCAAAATGCAACTGAGTCTTTCTTAGCAGCCTCCCGCTGACTGAGCCGTTTTCAGTAGCCATCGCTCGGCCAGGCCTTTTTCTGCAGCGGTCGCGCGGCTGAGCCTTTCTCGACGGAAGGTATCGAAAGGCAGTCCAGAAACATTATTTCTGGCCCTACTCCCCTTGCTCACGCGACAACCCTCGTTGAAGGGGTTCAACTTCTCGCGCGTCTGTTTTATATTTTCCAATAATTTTCGAACTATTTCCCGTGTCGATGTGGTTGCCTCAGCGCGGCCTCTGAAGCCAAGTTTCATGTACTTTCCGTTTATAGGCCCCGTAGAGGACTATTGCTCGGGTGTTGCTGGCGCCTTTTCAGCTTTCATCCTTAATTAATCTCGTGGCAGCCTCTAGATCCGTCCAAGCGATTCCAATAAATTTTTAATGAAAAATCAAGCGGAAAATTAGTAAAACCTTTTCTTTAAGCTTAATGTCCTTATGTCAATCTAACAGTACATTTTCGAGAAAATTTTGCTCAAGCGTCAAAAATTTGAAGAAAACCGTCGATTCGACAACAATGGTCCGCAAACTTTCGTTTGTCTCCTTCGATCCTACCGCCGTCCCTGTTAGTTTAAGGCGTAAATGGATTGAATTCAAACTTGAAGACTAGGAAACCAGCTTTCCCTGAAGTATTTTTTTTTCCATACAACATTTCAGTGACAAACGGCAACGGTTCAAAAATCAAACCATTATTTGACGTGTGCCGTGTTGCGCATTTTTCGTGCGTCGGTTCTCTCCTGTTCATTAAAAATGGGAAATGGAAGGGAGCCGAATAAAGAACAAACGTACAAGCGTTTGTTGTTGAAAACGCACCATTTGAAATGGCAATAACGACGATCTTTTGCCTCAAATACGTCGTTTTTGTTGTTTTTGAAATGCTTGTGTCAAAAATAGGTCTGCCATGGACACTTGGTCACAACTAGTTGAGGTAACGATGCCTCCAGCTCAGGGGGTGCTCCCATCTACTCAGAGCGGGCGGTACGTGTCAGCTGCCTGGCTCATCTTTGCGCTCAACGTCAACGTGGCTGTCAAGGCCCTGCTGTCGGCAGAGATTGCAGATGCAACATTCCCAGCTCCATCGCTGGAGGTACAAGGACCGGAGTCGAACGAACGTTATTAATATAATCTGAAATGACGATAGGACCAGGCCCATGTAAATTTCATTGGTTTAACACATTTTGGGTTATTATGACAAATCGCTCTTCCCAGTGTGATTACACCACAAAGAATAACTTTTATCGTTTTTCGTTTCACTTTACCGATAAAGTACATTGAATATGCTCTGAGACCTCCAGGAACTTCAAAATGACCCTGGCTTCAGCATCGGGGTCTGGTCAGCGGTTCAAGAAGTAGCATTGCTAGAGATGGGCATCACCGAAAACCATTTTACGCAATGCGAGGGTCGAGAGGGACTTCGTGATTGTGAGAAACGGTTCCACGCAGAAGATCGGTTCGGAGTAATAAGGGGCCGGGAAGTGACCGTGACTTTTAAGGTAAAGAAACTTCAGCTTACCCAATCTATGCATCATTGTTCAAAGTTATTCTTTACAGATTAACAGAGTTGCGACCTGTCCCTCATTTTCGCTGAGCGAAGCTCAGTCCAAGTTGCTGAGGGGTCAGGCGTTGTCTCGGTCGTGAGTCTGTCTGTCCGTGTCTGCGTTCCTCTTTTTCTCGAAAACGGCTGCACCTATGACGGAATGCGAGTTTGCCTTATCATCTATGATTTAGAGGAGACCCAGTCTCCCCTTTTCGTTCGCTACGGACTAATTTGAAAAATTTGGTCCTTTTTTCATCGGAGGGAGCTTCAGATGTTGTTGTTTCGGTGGTGGCTACACTGAGTGGAAAAGAGCGCGAACACGCAAATGGCTCCTTGCACCCACTTCGAGACTTTCTGATTTTCTCACACGTGATCATAATGTCAGATGGTCAAACCGAGTGCGAAATTTTTAGTTTTAGAGTTGCGGAACTGGACCTACGAAGTTTCGCGAGTGTCCTGTGAGAAGAGACGAAAGTGATATTTTGAATGGTTTACGTGTTTACTTACGTAAGTTGGAGGGGGGAAGGGGGTAGTGGTTCGGGAGAAATGTAAAAAAGGCAACTATTGTTTCGAGTTCATCTTGACAAAAGAAAACGAAAAAGTTTTATGCTCCAAGACGATCGGAATCGAAATAGCAGAGTTATGTTCTAATGTTCAAATATTTTAGCCAATATCGTTAACTCAGGTAGGATAGGCCCATCAAAATCAGAGCAAGGTATATCACTTTCCTAAATTAACTAGCTTTGTCTGGAGTCACATTATGTTTAATGATATCCAATAAAATGGTGGGAGCATTTAAATCAAACTCTATGATACGATACATTATAGAACTTAAATTAAATATACTTTAGCGAGTCGTGATCCTTCAAATGCTTCGGAGAGATCTGATAAAAATGAATATGAGAGCGACAAGTTATACTTGTCGTAGGTGAGAAGTTTAAATGTATTTTGAAATCATGTTAAATATTAGGGTATTTTATTTCACTTCAACCAGAGGCAACCCAATAGAATTTCAACTTTCACAAATAAAATGAATTGAATGAAATGGGAGGCATCAAGCATCATGTGGCATTACAGAAAAGGGTAAATTGAGTAGGGGGAGGGCAGTGGGGATAGGAAGGGACAGTAGCAGACATGTTCTGTATGTGAACTTCGGGAACGCATAAATTTAAGCCCCCACCCCCCTCTTTCTCCAGCCGATGTTACAGTTGTGTGTTTACCAAAACAAATCAACCATGCATTTTGATGAATAGAAACCAGGCTTCCCAGTATCAAGCTTTTCTAGTGGACTTCCAAATCTGTTATACTGCATAGTAATTAATCAAGTTCACTACACACTAAAAGTGCCTGTTGTAGAGAGAGAGGTGCAAGGGATTTGAACTCTAGTTGAATACAGCGACCCAACCAGACCAGGCCGTGGTTTAAGGTCCGGCTGGTCCCTCCCCCCATCTCTCACGTTCAAGGAGCAGAATCGGTTGCCTACCTACTAGGCGGACCCTCATTCATTATAGTTTTGTTCTATATTTGTTACGTCTTCTGTTATATTAATGCACTTCGCTCAGCTACCCCGTGCATAATGTTAACGCACGGGGCCCTACGTAAAACAAGGAGGACATATGTTGTATTCTTCCTTCTCTTCATCCTTTTCTTCATCCTTCTCTTCCTCATCAACGTCCTCTGAACCTGAACTGTCCTCTGAATCTGAACTGCTGCCAATTATTGTATTTGTACCAGCAACTGAGTATTCCAAATCACTCTCACCCTCTCCACTGCCCTTCTTGATGCTCTTCAACATTTCCTTGTGCACCACCTTCTCTTCATCAGTCAGGCTGTTCAAAATCTGCGACTTCAATTCATTCCTTAGTTTTGAAGTATGTTTGATGAGCCTTGCCCTCACTGAGTCGAAATCGCACTTGTCGCAGTTGTAGGTCCACGAGCAGTGGAGCATTATTCCTGTAACAATAACAAGACCAGTTTGAGAAAAAGTGAAATCACTCAGGTAAAAAATCAAACTTGATTGACTATGCTGACTTACTTATCATTATTGAAATCCACTCTGGTGGAATGAACTTGAACTTCTCCTTTTTTTTAAATCGACAGAGAATTCAAGAGCTTTTCCCTTGCACATGAGATCGCAGAGACGATCGGTCCTACATTGATACAGTTGCCATGTCAGCCCCGTTTGACCATTTGACAGAGTGAGTGAAGTGAGCCAGGATGCACCTGGCCCGCAGCTTCCCGCCAGCGCTCCCTGTCGGCTGGCCATCCGAGTGGACAGGCACTGGTCGCACTTGGTCTCTTCCTCCTTCCTTTCCCTCCCACACCCCACTTTCCCTTTTAATCAGAGTTTCGTCTCAACAAAATAACCAATTATTACACATGATTACAATTTTGTTTTAAGTTTATTTTTCCATAACTTGTAAAACGGAATTTCAATTTGAAATGCGAGTCTTCTTCTGAGGCATCCGCCAGCGATCAACATCTATGAATGTGTGAAAGTGATATACTTAAAAGATATTTAAATGTCTATTTAGATAGACATTTGACATTCATTGACAAGTGTTGGTCGCTCTAGCGGTTCACGTACGGGTTAACTTTTGCTGGCGCCTGTCACGGACTCGGTAGACAAGCCCGCCGCGCAGCAAAGTGAAACAGGTGGCCCACCCCGGAGTAAAGTGCGTATCGCACCGCCCACTCGAGGGGGTGAGGGTAATAGCGTTTTAGCTGGGGATTCTGCAGGGACTGATGTGGGATGATGCCTCCGGATATTTCCCGGTAATCCTCAGGGATGTAATGGAGGACTACAGGGATAGGATTCTAGAATGTTTTCCGCGGGCCCATAGAAAATCAGTAAGCGAAATTCTGTAGGGACTGCTGAGGGAGGTTTTTGAGGGATGTCTACAGTTAATTCCCGCAAATACCTGGAGATGTTGGGTGAGGATTTAATAGGGACCACTCAGGTATTTGCAGGGATCCACCAGTGAGAATAATCTCCAGGTATTTTGAGGGAGTAATTCCCTAGGATCCTCCAGGGATGTGGTTTGCGGTGGACTCTGAATACAGGCAAGGCGGTGAAAACCCAGGGACTTCAGATATCATAAATATCACAGAATTTCGCCAGGATTATCACAAGGATTGTCTCAAGGACAGCAGAGGGACAACAAAATCTGGAGGGACTTCTGGGGATCGGTGAAGGACAATCCCTCAGTGTCCCCCTGTCCATCAGGGTCATCAGTTTCTTTAGTGCCACGCGCTAACTGTTACCTTTCTGTACACAACCTTCGTATTGTAATTTTGCCAAGCCGAGAGGTTAAATTTGGAGCGGGGTTTGCATTAATAATTGTATAGTAGAGTTACTTTTCTTATACCAACAAAATCCTTATCCCTACAGTGTCTGCCGCCTTGCACCCACAGGCTCTCCAGCACCCTACCACCTCAGCAGGCGGTCTTCTACGCGAGAAAGGCATATCCCCTGCTACCTATGCTTGACAAAGTCATACTGCGTCTGCACAGCAGCGGCATCCTGGGCCACTGGATCAAACAGGACTGGTAAGCATGAGCATCTCTGGCCATAGCGCGTCCACTCTTGATGTTAGAGTAAATGTTTGTCCACAAATTAGTACAAATTAGTACAAAATAATATTACTTTTGGCTCCCCGTAGAAACAGATGTGAGCGCTAATCAAACACTTGCAAGTGCCAGTCCAAGACACAAGTAATAATCTAACGTGTTGCATCGATTATTTTTTTATTTTTTATTTTTTGGAATGGCCAAAAGGAACGTTGTGATAATGATGTGCTTTTTATGTTTTCTTAGGTGGGAAATGGCACAGGGCCATGTACGCCTAAACAACACTTCATCGATGAGTGCACGTGTTGAGTGGGACGCTTTCTTTATCCTTTTCGCTGGCCTCGCTTTGTCTGCTGCGGCATTCCTTTTTGAAATCAGTCAGAACGCGATCACAGCGCTCTTTTTTGTTCCCCTGAACCTGCGTAATGGTCAACTTGCATTGAGGAGGCCAGTATCAGTTTGGGACGTAATCTTGTTTCCGGGTCGCTGGTCAATACGCCCCCACCGAAATTCGCAATTAAACGACTACACAAGCTAGAGGAAGAGGTCCCTACGGAACCTGCAAGTACCTGACAAGTGGGCAAGTTTCTTGGGTTTAGATTAGCAGCTCGCGCTGCTTCTCTTGGTGATTACAATTTAGTAGTGATATAATACGAAAATTTCCTTTTCTAGTTTTCCACTACTTTATAACCAGCGATCATACAATTTATTGGTACCTTGACACCTGTTTCAGTTTTTATCATGAATATGTAGGATGTACATTGTATGGAAAAAGCCGTGGAGAAAAGGAGGGCTAGGATACGTTTTGTTCTGAAACGACTTTACGCAGACGTGAGGTCTCCAGCGAGTGACTTAATACGGCATGCCTCAGCACTCCAGACAGTGGTGGACTTAACGGTTCTCCTCGTGAGGCAAGCGACGATGGGCTTCGTGAGCTTCTCCTTGGTTGCGCCCTCAAACAGGGCATCGATGCCCTCGAAGCGGCCGACGTCACTTGGGGGGTCAAAGTCACCGCGAGCGTGCACTTAGCAGAGGCATTCGGCCAAGTGCGGCCAGGCGGTCGTTGATCTCTTCGATCTGGTCGTCCGAGTAAATGTACTGCACAGGGAACAGCCAGCATAAACTCTTCCACCGCGCAAAAAAGCCCGTCTGCTAAATTAGCAAAAGACAGGGGTCCACGTTTTGATGTTCTATCAAATAACATATTTTTGTTTTCGCTGAACAAAGGTTTTTGCTGTTTCAGCAAAAGTTTTTGCTATCTCTGCTATATGTTTTGCGACCATAGCAGCTTGTGGTTTTTAAATAAAATCTGAAATACATTTTGGTGGTTGTTTTGAAGTGTGGCGGTTGAATTTAAACGTCAGTGAACCTCTATGATGTAGTTTAAACTTTGGGGAGCTTCGACATTTATTTTGAAGTTCAGGGAACTTCAACGTTTTCTTTAATGCATCCATTGATTAAAGTACTGTACCTCCTGTGTCTTCTTTATACTCAGTCAGTACCAGACCGATGATGCTTCAATAATTGGCGCAGTTGGTTTGGCTGAGAAAAGGGGAAGGGGCAGACCGAACTCTATGTATATCAAATGGTGCACCCTTTCAAATACAATACTGAAACAATTTGTTTCTGGTCATAATCGATCTGTTTTTTCGATAACTTTGAAATAGTTTTGAGTTTACCATTGCTCAGCCAACAGCCGGCCAGCGTCTATCGAGATCTTCCGCAAGTTTTCTTTCCTTAAACATGGTGACGAGTTCGATGCTCCCTCTCCTTTCCTATTTTTAACTAACTGGATTCGCCCACGAGCAACAGAAACGCATGGAAATATAATAAGACAATTTCTGTACAAAGATTGTTTTCAAAGTATATCACTACTGTGACGAACAAGTACAAGTTCAATCCACCTTTGTCGGTCTGTGGCTGTTGCCCTCTCTGCGCCGGGCCTGTAGGCAACCCAGCTAGGGTGGCCCAAAAAAAATCAAAATATTCGGAGAGAGCAACGCTGGTCAAAATCGAGTAGTGGATGAAAAATAAAAGCTTACGTGTTTTTTCCTTTTGCTGTGAGATCACTCTAAATAACTGCTCAAAGCCCTTAAACTTTAGACAGGGTCCTAAGTGCATTGCGCGAGGTATTTGAACACGAAGTTTTGCTCCGATTTCAACGACACGGGTATCACTTTATTCGTCCTTTTCTGCTGAGAAAGTATATGTGTCTACGTGGGCTGTAGGTGCTACGGTTCAGATTTTATCGCGTTTTTACTTCAGCCGATTTCCAAAAAAGTGCAATTTTTACTCGTTTTTTGTCTGTTTTGGAGCCTTAAGCGATCCCAAGCCGACACCTAGGGCTGATATCACTTGTCCTTGCACCAGCCAATATTCTTGGACCCCGACACGGGCATTTGAGTGCATTGCCTACCCTCCAGGGGCACGGAATTCTCGCGAATTCAACACAAAGTTTGACTTTGGGTCAAAATAGCGAACTGAGACGAAAAAAATCGATGGCAATGCGCCTACATGCACTCCTTTAGCAACACTAAGTGCATACAAAAAAATTTAAAATTACTTAAAATTTAAAAAATTAAAAACTTGCTAAAACCTGTTAAATCCTGTCTTTTTTTTTTTTTTTTTAATTTTTGCACTTAGTGTTGCGAAAGGAATGCATGTAGGCGCATTGCCGTCGATTTTTATCGTCTCAGTTCGCTATTTTGACCCAAAGTCCAATTTTGTGTTGAATTCGCGAGAATTCCGTGCCCCTGGAGGGTAGGCAATGCACTCAAATGCCCGTGTCGGGGTCCAAGAATATTGGCTGGTGCAAGGACAAGTGATATCAGCCCTAGGTGTCGGCTTGGGATCGCTTAAGGCTCCAAAACAGACAAAAAACGAGTAAAAATTGCACTTTTTTGGAAATCGGCTGAAGTAAAAACGCGATAAAATCTGAACCGTAGCACCTACAGCCCGCGTAGACACATATTCTTTCTCAGCAGAAAAGGACGAATGAAGTGATACCCGTGTCGTTGAAATCGGAGCAAAACTTCGTGTTCAAATACCTCGCGCAATGCACTTAGGACCCTGTCTAAAGTTTAAGGGCTTTGAGCAGTTATTTAGAGTGATCTCACAGCAAAAGGAAAAAACACGTAAGCTTTTATTTTTCATCCACTACTCGATTTTGACCAGCGTTGCTCTCTCCGAATATTTTGATTTTTTCTTGGGCCACCCTAAGCCCAGCGGGCATCAAGCGCACAGGTCACGTCACAAGTTGAGCGAGCGTCTTTCCGGCTCGTGCACTCTGTGGTTAGATAAGCCAGCAGCGATACAAGACAGTTAATTTCGGTAATAACCAATGGGGTTAATAGGATTGATAAATTATAAATAGGATTATTGTTTGCTGTGTACCGCCGTTCTGAACAGAAGCCAGCCTTTTAAAGGAGTCAGATTAGGAAAGTTGTTCATCATAGTTGATTTTATTCCTAAACTAATATTGCTGGTTGTCGTCTCATCACCGTCCAAACGCAAGTAAGTTTACTGGGCCACCGTGTGTCATAATCCGCGATTCTTCGTCTATTAAAGAACTTTCGCAGTCCACTGAATTTCCCTCTTGATATTATTTTCCAATTATGTGGCGAAGTGCGGCTCTACCATAGTAAGATCCACGTGCCATCAGAAGTCAGAGACCGCCTTCTTTCCTCTTTCCTCGCCTCTGCGTGCCAGGTCCGTCGAACGCTGCGTTCTTCTTGTCCGTACAACCAGTCGTTGGGTGTCCTTGGATAGACGATGACTTGCAGTCTTCGTGAGACCGGGTCGGGACAGCAGCAGCTCTCGGCTGTTGTTTCGACCTCGTGTCACCTCACGTGGGTCCATTTATGTGTGTCTGCGCAGTCAGCTGATTTTGAAATCCGTTGCTGTCATGGTGGGAGCACTAGAGTCGTGCAACTAGAGTCGATAATTCTCAAATGCACAGTCTCAGCTTCGGGTGCTGGTGGGTGCTCGCTAACATCAATGAGCCTTGGCCTTGGCCCTGGTGCACTGTGGGCTGCTCGCCGAGGAGAGGGCCTTGAGGAGGCGGGCGAGGAGCCAGAGCGCGAGGCCTGCGGCCAGCGCGGTGGCGGCCAGGATGTCCAGCATCCAGACCTCGTACCAGCGCAGGCGCAGCGCGGGCGAGCGCAGGTGTGGGGCGCCGCCCGTGCGCGCCACCATCTCCCCGAACCAGGCGGCGCGCTCTACCGGCGGCTCCTTCTGGTCGCGCACCGCGCTCTGCACCACCTTCATCGCCTCGCGGTATCTACAAACAAAACGACAGATGGTATTATACACATTCACATTACATATTCATATTCACAAGTACAGGTGGTGTTGGACTATCAGTATGACAAACTAATATTTACAATATATACAATGCAATGTGAAAGTTTGCTCTTCATTCAACATTTGAACGGCTCAGGTGTGGTGGCACATTCACGAGGGAACCCGAGGACTCTTGAAACAACAGCTCTGTGAAAGATGCTGGGAACATTTTCATAGAAGGAAAGCATTGCGGCCTGCCCGCAGGAGTGGATTTAGAGGGGGGCCTTACTGTGGGCCTTGCCTACTATTTTCAAAGGGTTTGCAGGGCAAATTGCCTATCTTTCAGACAGCTTCCCATATGACTAGGGGGCGATCTAACGCCAGGGGTAGGGGGTCGGTCACACCTTTTCCTCATTTAACCGCAGCTTGCATCCAACAGAAAGATGGTTATTTCAGTTTTTAGCAGATGATACCTTAAATACTTTAACTAAATATAAAGAAAACATAAGTAACTTTAAGGTGTCAGCTAGCTTTTACTCTCGATAAGCAGGAAAGAGAACTAAGAGCAAAACCAGAAATCATTATTTGTGCGCTGGGGGAATAGTGTCCGGCTGGCTGGCTGAGTGTCGCGCCAAGCCCCATTCCTTGCCCTGCCTAACAATACCGAGCCGGATTGGCCCCTTCCCTGACCAACAATACTGGGCCACCGCCGCCAGCCGTCCTGCCCTCCCCGTATATGTCCTCTGCGCCACTAGGCCACCGAATTGCAAGATTGCAAGCAACCAAACAGAATGCAGCTAATGGGATAAAATAAGAACATAGCCTTATTCATAAATTTGTATCATCTGCTTTCAAGATCGATTCTTGATTGAGATTTTTATTTATTTTTAACTTTCTCTGGAAAAATGGAGTGAATTCCTTTCTTCTTGAAAACTTTCACTGAGTAGAGGTTGTTCCTAGGTGTGTGATGCTAATGGTACTGAACCATACCTGGGGTTGTTGATGACGTCGGTGAGCGCCTCGTAGAAGCTTTCCTCGGTTATGGTGCGGTAGATGACCTTACGGCCGATTCCTATTCTCTCTACCTTTTCAGCGTACCGCGGCTGGTCGTCCATGAAGGGCACACCAAGGATGGGCACCCCGTGGTAACTAGCCTCCTGGGTGCCAAGTGCACCATTGTGAGAGATAAAGCAGCGAATGTTGGGGTGTCCTGTGAAAAACACAATTGTCATTCAAGTGCCTTTTCAGTGCAGAAAACAAACACCCGATGAACAGAGCCACGTTCTGTACCCAGAATGTCGTTCTGCGGCAACCACTTGGCGACGCGCACGTTGCGTGGCAGCTTGTCTAAGATATCGTCCTCCTCGTACTTCCACAGCACGCGCTGCTTGATGCGGCCGAACGCCCTTAGGATGGCGTTCCGCTTGTCTTTGTTGAGGGCGGCCGATCTGGACGTCACAAAACTTATGAAGAACCTTGCCCGAAACTGATCTAACATCTAGAAATGTGCGTTACTACCTGACATTCGTTCCGAAGGACATGTACACGAAGCCGTTTGGCGCCGCCTTCTCGTTGACCCAGGCCAGGATGTCGTCAGGCAGGGGCTTCGCGGGCCTGGCCTGCATGCCACCCACCTCGACAATGCTGGGCACTATTGGCATAGACCCGTGCAACCCTGGGTTGGTATTCACCAACGATATGGCTACGTCTTTCTCCAGCTCGGCCAGCGGTGGTGAACCAGGAAAATTCTGGAGACAGAATTTCAAAGAGTTTGAGGGAGCCGCTGTCGGTTGAAGGAGGGGTCCCCAACGACGTTCTAGCGAGTACACTGGCTGCCCTAACTGGAAGACGCAGGAAGATGATGAATAAGATTATGGTCTTTGCGAAGAAAACCTAGGGAAACCGAAAACGTCACTGCGAAAAAAGTTGTAGGTTTCAGGGGAAACTTTTCTTCGACACGTGTCGTAAAGTAACAGTCCAAAATTGTAAAATTACACACTGGGAAATTCTTGCAAAGAATTTTCAAGCAGTAGTGTAAGGAAGTTTGCATTGCAAACTATTTTCTTTGCATTGCAAACTATTTTCTTTGCATTGCAAACTATTTGCTTCGTAAGTTACGAAGAAATGGTTTGCAAGGTTACGAACTAATTATTTGCAGCGTTACGAACGATTTCCTTAGTAAGGTGCGATTAATTAGTTCGCAATCTGAAGGATTTAGTTCACAATGCAAAGCATTTTACAACGCTTGAAAACTCTTTGCAATGCAATGAAGAGTTCTTCGCAAGCTTTTTACAGTGCAAGCACTTTGTATCGACTTGACATTCATCGACGAGCAAGTTCAGGGTGTCATAAACTTACGCTATATTTTGTAAATGTTAATTACAAAATATATCATAAATTTCCGACGGCATTTTCACAGTGATACGAGAAAAGGGAAATTGTAGGTCAAAAAGTTACAGGACTACATAAACATAGTTGCCATAAGCCCAAACGTACCAGTCTACGGCAGGGACCCGTAACTTAACAAAGTTGACGTTACAAAAAAAAAGTTTCACGTTACGTTCCTCGTACCGATATACAAACAAAAATTGATTTGTTACGTTACGTAACTTATAACGGGTAACGTAACAAATGTAATTTTACAAAAATGTAACTTATTTATTATTACGGATACTCCCTAATATCTCACGTTATTGATTTCATGAGCTACAAGCCGAGCCCCTTGCACCGAAAGACCGCTAAAAAATTACTTTCTCAAATACGTTATTTCTCCAAATGCTGTGTAACGTAAATCGCTACAATCAAGTTACGTTACAGTAACGTAACAAAATTATTTACGGGCTTTTAAATTCGTTAAATTCGTGCCGGGAACTTGTAACGTAACGACAGTATGTTAAGTTACGGGTCCCTGGTCTACGGTTTTACCTTAGCGATCATAGTGTCCACGTCTGGCCGGTACACCCAGTCGGTGTACGCCCGCCAGATGATCCAGCGGTACAGACTCTTCGCACGCTCAGTGAAGGTGAGTGGTTGACCGCTATGGGCGCCGACACCACCATAGGGCAGAAGAGAAGGGAAGTAGGGACTGCCCATAATCCGCAGGATTCCCTCGGGCATGTTGTAGGGAGTCATGACGACCATGGGCCGTCTGCCAATTTCGTAATTGAGCTGAAACACATTTGGTTACCTGGGACAACCATGATATGGTAACAAGATTAACTATCATACAGTTATCAGATCCCTGTTTTAGTCCTCACGGCCATTTTGATGTTGTCTTATCCATCACTTCATGGCTGTCCCGAAAGTAACGAGGTTGGCAAACAACATTTGTACAATTTATTACTTGTTCCACATTTTTTCTGATTTTTTTCTGTTAAATCACATTTAAAATTTTAAGAGTGTATTAAACCCGAACACAATTACGTAAAACATAATCTTAGTTTTTAAAACTGTTTACCCACATTCAAACGTATACATCGTAAAAACTACATTACTATGTATAAAACTACAGAACTATTGAATATATAAACGTTGCAATGCAATCGTTTTGAGAAAAAATGTAAAAGGCCGATTCCAGGATGGGGTGTCCATACGTCACGTGATTTGTGAGCGACTGGGAGGTGCTACGGCTTCGTACAAAACATGACTGGATGCGTCTTGAGGATACGAGTCAGGACACGTGTTGTAGAACAACGTAGCGCCTCCAAGTCGCTCACGAATCGCGTAACGGACGCACATTTTTGACCATTGCCCCAGGAATTGCCGAAAACTGGGCAACTATAACAATATTATTGTAATTCACCAAAAATAAAGATTTGCGACATTCCTAATGTTTACTCACAACTTGCGGCGATTCGCACTCGGCCAAACTTCGGCAATCCAAAGGGAGCAGCAAAACGTTGACGTGGTTAGTCGTCAAATACACTCACCCCGATCAATGCCTCCTGCATCGGAAAGTCAAGGACGAAAACGTCAAACTTAGGCTTCTTCAGCTTCAAATAGTTTCGGAGGTCTGCGAACGCCTTCGATTCGAACACAGTATTTGTGGAGACTCTGTAGAAGCCAAACAAAAATTCGACCTCTTCAAACAAGCCGTAGTCGTAAGTCTCTTCGAGGTCAAAGCCCTGTAAAAACATTAAATTTTATTCTGGAAAACAATCATAACTACATTGTAAGTAATGTCTTCAAATATTGACGGAATGGGTCGGTCATTTCTTTAGCCGATCTGAACCGTTTTTCAAGTCAGCGGGAGGGCCGTACCATGCGATAGACGGACCTTCCCGTTCTGTCAAAATAGGCAGGTACAGACCGGTCCATAATAAAATACAAAGGT